CCCCCCTCCTCGAAGTCCATCCTTTATTGGATATGTTCCTGATTGATTAGAACTTGTTTTTGCTTCTATATAGGCTTCAGTGGAGGATATAGATATACAATACTCTATACAAAAATACAAAGCTGAGAGGGACTGTACACGTTATTTCAAGTGACTCTACGTTTAAAGTAGAACCCGATTCATAAAGGTTCCCTTTTTTGTCTATATCTGAGCATCAATTCTAACAAATTCGTCCTTTATCTTCCGTTCCATAAATCCACAAGCACCTTCAATAGATAACCGCCATTAAAAGTAATCAATTTTTTAGATTGAAAACCTTTTTCCCCAGATAAATCTTTAAAGGGTACCGTTGTGAATCAGGCATGGTTGCTTAACATATTTGTTGTTCACATAACAGTAAACAGAATTGTTATTAAAAATAAAGATAAGGGGTTTGTTACAAAAACAAATTTGAGATATAGGAATCATAGCTAAGAAAAACTAAAGATGACGGGATTGGTTATGAAAAATAAAGATGACGGGATTGGTTACGAGAATTAAAGATAAAGGGATTGGTTACGAGAATTAAAGATGAAGGGATTGGTTACGAAAATTAAAGATAAAGGGATTGGTTACGAAAATTAAAGATAAAGGGATTGGTTACGAAAATTAAAGATAAAGGGATTGGTTACGAAAAATAAAGATGAAAGATTGGTTACGAAAATTAAAGATGAAGAGATTAGTTACGAAATTAAAGATGAGGTTACGAAAATTAAAGATAAAGGGATTGGTTACGAAAATTAAAGATAAAGGGATTGGTTATGAAAATTAAAGATAAAGGGATTGGTTACGAAAAATAAAGATGAAAGATTGGTTACGAAAATTAAAGATGAAGAGATTAGTTACGAAATTAAAGATGAAGGATTTGTTACGAAATTAAAGATGAAGGGATTGGTTACAAAAAAATAAAGATGAAGGGATTGGTTACTAAAAATAAAGATGAAGGGATTGGTTACGAGAATTAAAGATTACAAGAATGATTACGAAGTTTATAGATAAAGAGATTGGTTATGAAAATTAAAGATGAAGGGATTGGTTACGAAAATTAAAGATTACAGGAATGGTTAGGAAAAAAAGATAACGTAAATGTTTACAACAAATGTAAGGGGTTTAAATAAATTACAAATCGATTGATCATTTTTTTTTATTTTTTACCAATAGCTTTGAAATTCTATATAAATCATCCTTCCTGTCCTCCCTAAAAATGTTGTAGAAAACTATAATTCTTTGTTAATTTGGACACAAAATTCAAAGTTTTATAATGTTCTATCCTCATTTTCATTTTTTGCAATTTCTCTCTTTTTTACTGCATTGAATTTATTTGTTAAAGTCTAGCTGAAGCACTCTGTATCATGTAGTTACTGGGTTGGAGTTGATTTATGAAAATAAAATTATATCTTCTGGGAGTAATGTTTTCAGCACAATTTGTGCAAAATTAGAGATTTCCTGGGTTTAAAATTTTTGCACTCATATTATTTAACGCCTAGGCTAAAAGGGGAAAAAACTACATTTTTATCAATTTGACATACATTTTTTAAAAAGTTTAAATATAAAACTGAACTTTAGCCCAAGTATGCATTTTTTCGTTTTTGGCTTTATTCATATGGCATTAACACTGTGCCTATTCTTAGCTTGTCGTTTGTCAAAAAATTGGTTGATTGATTGATTGATTGATATTTAAATTAACATTCCTATCTCTAGTAAGTCAATAATTAATGATGCAAGGAATGAATCCTGCTAAAAATACACATTTTCTTTAAAGACGGTCCTTAGTTTTCAGTCTCTTATATGAGTACCATGGTGAATCTGACATGCACCTCCTTGGTGTCACTTGAAATTTTTTCAACAGTCCCTTTTTTATTTGTGATTTTGAATTAGAGTTTATTTCATTCCATCTCTTTTATTCTAAATCTCTTTTTGAATATCTGATTTGTTGATGAATCTATAAAATTAACTGTTTCCTGTTTATATTGTTAAATGATTTATATCTCGGTTAAATCAATCAGAAATATTGGTGGATTTATAGATTAAATAGTAAATTGATTTTCTCCCAACAATTGCAGATTTTTTTTAACAATCTATCTTCAATTTTTATGCCGAAGATAAGAGGGTTTAAGTTTGAAATGCACTGTGCATCATTACATTACCTTAGATTTTGATTTTGATATATCAGTTAATTTTATGATTAGCTGATTAATTTGTGATTAAACAACAATTATTTGGTAATGTATAATCGGAATAAATAAATCATCTAGTTTGATGATCATAAGATTGATGATTGATGTGTATGTAAAATAATTGATTGATTGATTTGTCTCCATGTCAAATTGATCAATTGAAATTTAGACCAGAAAGATTGATTGACTGATTAATTGAAATTTTGGCCAGATTATTGATTGATTAATATTTAGGCCAGATTATTGAGTGCAGTTGATGTAAAGGCAAGATTATTAATTCACTTAGGCCAGAAGAGTGATATTTATGCCAGATCATTGATTGTTCATACATTTTAGGCAATTAGATTGATTGTTATTGGTGATAGATTGATTGGTCCATTGATTGATAGTTAGGTAAGGTGATTGATTGATTGATTTATATTCAGGTCAGATTGATCCTACGGCATTCCGTGGTCTCACCAACCTGGTAGAACTGGATCTATCTGGGAACCTACTTAATACTGTTCCTACTCCAACTTTCTCAGGTAAATACTGTTCCTACTCCAACCTTCTCAGGTAAATACTGTTCCTACTCCAACCTTCTCAGGTAAATATAGATAAATAGATAAATAGATAAATAGATAAATAGATAAATAGATAAATAGATAAATAGATAAATAGATAAATAGATAAATAGATAAATAGATAGATAGATAAATAGGTAAATAGATAAATAGATAAATAGATAAATAGATAAATAGATAAATAGATAAATAGATAGATAGATAAATAGAAAAATAGATAGATACATGTGGTCTGTGGTAATGCTATCAGAAAAGAGACTGATCAATTATACTCAATTTATTCTCCTGTTTATTGGGACACCCTGTAGAGTGTAGATAGGGGACACCCTGTAGAGTGTAGATAGGGGAAACCATTTAGAGTGTAGATAGGGGACACCCTGTAGAGTGTAGATAGGGGAAACCCTGTAGATTTTAAAAAGAAAATCATATTTAGACTAAAAAACCGTATATCTTCAGTTTAACAGTGTAATCGGTTGTTTCTGATGTTTAATATGAGAAAAAATATATTAGAAAAATTCAAATTTTTCGGAAAACTTTTCAAATTATCAATATCTACAATTATTGGAAAATATGCTAAAACGAAAGAAAATATTCTTTTAAGAAGATGAAAAAACTTGATATCTATTTTTTCTTTAATAAAACATTATGCAACTTTGTGAGTTTTTGTCGTTTTAAACATTTTGGTTAAAAATGTTTTGTAAAAGAACACAAAACAGATTAACTATTTTCAAATATTTTAAATATTTTTAAAGGACGCTAAATATAAAAATATGATGTATGAAAATAATGTTCTAAAAAACATACTCAATTTTTGGTTTAGTTACGCACTCAAGGCTCAATGTTTCCAGACTTTTTTAAGCAAGGTGGTTTTGATGGTGTAGCTTCTTTAAATGGGGGGGGGGGGGTTGCCTCACCTGTCACCCTGGACTAACTAGGTGAGATGCATTGGGTTTTTTACTATTTGAATTCAATCATGAGTTGGTTTATAATTCAACAACCTTTGAACCTATGGAGTTGTCTTGCCAAACTTTTTCGTTAAAACCGCGTATTCCGACAAACAAGTATAAAAGAGAAAAAGCTAAAAGGTCCAATTCTGTTCGAAAGTTATAGTTCTGTGGAAATAGAACCGTTAAATCCGCTTGCTGTGACGAGGTGCACTAGAGAATTGATATATTCCACCTTAGTCCTGACTCATGATTAATCAGTGCTCAGGACAGAATTGTGTTTTGTATTATTATTATTATTAATAATTATTATTATTATTATTTAGATATACCGTATCTGCGTGACCTTGCCTTGAACAATAATCCTCTTCAAAGGATTGAAAATTCTGCTTTTGAGATGATTCCTCAGCTAGTATCATTGGATCTATCAGGGACATTCATTCATTCATCCTATCATCCTCAATCATTTATTAATTTATTAATTTATTCATCCTCTCAATCAATCATTTGTTATTCTTTTCAAACCTATCCTTTAAATGATCCTTTATCTGTTCTTCATCCTTAAAATCAATATTGAATTAAAGTTTGTCACCCAATGTTTAAATTTTGTGTATTAAAAAATTATGAGATTAAAACGTAGATTGTCTTTTTATATATCATAATGGCTCTTTTCATTAGCGTTTAATGCAAGATTAATTTGTTCCTCCTTTGTTAAAATTCTTTTAATAAACTAAAAGATATAAACTATGTACATGTAAATGAATGATACATGTACAGGTTGCCAAATACGTCGTGTTCATGCCAGAGGTTTCTTCAACATTAAAAACTTGCTCAAACTCTCTCTTCATAATAATAAAATTGAAGAATTAAAACAGGTGAAAGAAATATTTAACTTTTTTAATAAAATTTTTGTTTCTTTTTTGTTCCATAAATATGCAATACAGGGATCATGATAGTTGATTCTCGCCTACAAATATAGATCTTGGTGTATGATCCTTAACTATAAATGAATCATATAATATGATCCTTGTTTATTTACTTTAAATGGATCATAATTCATAATTATATATGGATCATAAAGTATGTTTCATACTTATAAAGGGATCATATAATGCATAATTATATATGGATCATGATAATTGATTTACTCCTACACATGCAGATCATGATAAATGGTCCTTAATTAAATATTAATTATATATGATATAATCCTTACTTTACATGAACTATATACTGATATATGGATCATGGTGCATGATCTTTAATTATACATTTGTCATGATCTGTAACTAGTTCTTGTCGTAATAAATATGAATCATACTTTATATGAATAATTATATGTGATCCATACTATACCAATACATTTCAAACCATATCTTTCATGATAGGATACAAATACATATTAAGGGAATACAGGTTTAATTTCAAGGGACCTTACATTTATGGAGTACAGTGTTCGATTCACAACAGTATGCTCTAAACCATAATCCAAGTAACGTTTAATAAGATATCTTGTAAAATGTCGAATTCTAAAAATTTTCTTAACATTTTAGAGAAACCACCAATAAAAATAATAAATTTTTAACTAAAAAACTTGAATATCTCATTGGAATATAATCAGCCGAAAGGTTGAAAGGTACTGTTGTGAAAAAGGCATGCAAATCAATAAGCGGTCACTTGAAATTACCTCGACAGCCCTTTTCAGCATTTTTTAGTATTCTTCTACCTTCAAACAAACTGATAACCAAATCATATTTTTAAAGCCTTCTCTAAATTGAATTGAAAAATCAATGGTTTTTAGATAAAAATACACCATTCAATTTATAGAATATTATTCAAACCTTAAAGGGACTTTAAAGGAGAAATGAAAGGGGTATAGGCTGAAAGCTAATTACTTTAGCTCTCAATCGCGACCCATGAAAGTTATATCTGATGTTCCTATCTCGAGAAACTGATTTACAACTTTGTCAAATTTATACGAAAATTAATATATATACAATTTTGTATAAAAGTAGTGGGTTTAAAAAGATCAAATTTAGCAAATATGCAACCAATCTGAAAACGATGATATCCCACATAAAGCTAATTTAGGTTTACTCCAATTCTAATTTTATATTTGTTATTTCTATTTTTTATAGATTTAATTCATAATATTATTTATACGTCCGTATTGCTTGACCAGAAATTCCACCAATGGCAGTGCAGTGATACAGGCGGAGACACGTGACCAGTATACTGCTCTGCCATTGGTAATAGTTCTGGTCACGTGATTTAAGTTTAAGATTTTTTAAATTTTACATATATGAACTTTCGTATAATTTAACACAGTTTTATATCAATTTCTCAAGACAGGAACATCAGATAAAACTTTCATGGGTCACGATCAAGAGCTAAAGTGATTAGCTTTAAGCCTATACCCCCTTTCATGTTTTCCTTTACAGTCCCTTTAAATATATTAGTAGATTTAAACGGTTTTGGATTAAAGCAAAAATAAAATTTTAAATATTTGATCTGACACCTTTGTAGTCTGTATTTATTTTTTCTAAAAATAAAAATGTTTATTGTGCTCTAGGTTTATAAAATTGAATTTGTCCTCGACGTTCAAAATCGTACTTTTGGGTGGACACGTTTTCAGAATCGGTTTATTTTTTACTAAATAGCGACGACGAAAAATAAGGATAAATGTGCTAATTTAATTTTTAGCATCGTATTAGATGTATGTAGAATTTAAACGCAAAGATTTGTCAAGTGTTATTGCGTTTTGGGTCAAAAGATAAATAAGAATATTTTACGTAGTCAGAATTTATGAAAAGTCTAGTACAACCACTTCTCTTGCATTGTATAAATTTGATGTCAGCGGTAAGGAAAAGTAGTTAAAATGGGTATATTTAGTTCAACTACCGCTCGAAATATAAATTAATTCCTATACTATAGAAAACACATAAAGAAAAGTATTACTTTTATTTAAACTGACTTATTATAGGCAAGAAACCATTTTTTTGTGATCTTTGATTGAATTTGAGAATTAATTGATTAACTATTTTATTTTGTTTAGAAAGTATTTGAAAATTTACGGGAACTCCATTCTTTGAGCATTCATGAGAATCCCTGGAATTGTGATTGTTCCATCAGGCCTCTCATAGGTGAGTGCTGGCATAAGATACAGTGAGACTCAGAAACTGTCGATTAGGAAGACGACTGTCAGAATTAAGTACTCATTTTAACAGAATACAAGGCAAAGTTGCCTCTATAACACCGTCAAATACACATAACATTGCTTTGAGGTCGTCTTCCGATATACATATTTAAAGTGTAACTGTATTTTAGGACATATCTAAATAAGAATTTAATTTTTCATTTCTTTTAATTTTCAATATTCTAATCTTTTATTTCTGATGTCGTCGACTTTGATATTTCAAGTATGAATTCTGCCAGTTCAAATAGTCAAAGATTGAAATATAAAAGGTCTACTCCACCAGTTTGAAAAAAAAACAAATAGACATTAGAAAATTTGGATTAGAGTCGAGTAATCAGATCCTTACTACAGAGTTGTTTCTTTCCAAATGTTCTTTTCTCTTCTATAAAATAAGATCGGAGGTTCTAGTATTGAGTAGTGAGGCGGATGATTCAATTAACTTGTATAATCTTATATACTCAGTACTAATGCTTTCTACACGCACACGTTTTCTTAGTTTTTTTTTATCATTATTGTATATTTTGTATGTTTTGTATATTAATGTTTAGTAGAAAACTAATAATAATAACACTAATATTATTAGTTCACTGCAGATACAAACATATAACAGTGGAGAGTATTGGAACAAAACATTAGACCAATTCTAAAACTTATTTATGAATCTCCTAAAATTGCTGCCACAAACGTTGATTTTTAGTTCCTAAGTTCGCAACCCGGTGTTGTATACCTTTGATATTTCAAACTACGAATTCTATTAGATCAAACAGTTTGAAATATCAAGGTATTTTCGGTTTTATTTCAGTTTGTCAGTTTTGCATAAGTGATTTAGAAAATTTGAGTTTGTGGCAAGAACTCAGTTCCTTTGGGTTTTTTAAAATGAAAGTCATTTCTTGGGACGAATGCAAGGAACTCTCATAAACTAATGTGTACTGCAGTTTCTGGGACGAATGTATAGACACGTAGAGCTTCCTAGGATAAACTTTTTTTCAATATTTAGTAACAGAATATTTTGATGAAAGTTCCTTTTATATTCTTTAGAGATTCATTTCCAAAAAAGTGTCTTGCAAATTTTGGTGATATTTATAAACAAAACTAGCCCAGAGCAGCACTGGGATTGTTTGCACTCCTCCCAGAAAATGTAGTACAAAAAGAATAAAGAAACTGGTGTCACTGTATATCTTTCTTGTGTGTTTCTGGTATCCTTTCCTTAATGAAGCGTAAATAAAAATAACTCTTATATCTGGTATTAATTAATTTCGTTTTCAAGATTGGTTGAATGTAGAGAATATACCCTTGCTGGATCAGCCACGTTGCTTTCTCCCAGACAGGCTGAGAGGAAACCGGTTTTCAGATATACCATTGCAGGTACCTGGTACATAACTTATACCTGTACTGTACAGTTTACACAGTACATTTCGTTTTTTATTTGGCTTTCGGAGGCTCCAGAAAAATATGCAATATTATAAAATATTATTAATTTCTGTTTTATGAGATTTTTCAAAATGTTGGCTTTGACAGTTAAGTGTTAACGTAGTAAAGCTATTAATCGCTAGCTAATGCATATCAAATCTGTTATGCTTATATTCTGTCAGAGTCAAGATTTTGCATATTATAATAAAAGCAAACATAAAGAGCATATAATTTTATAATATTAATTTCTCAGATATTTTTGGAGCCCCCTGAATGTTTAAAAACTGACAAAATCGATGTCTAACCCTATTCACACCTTGATTTAACTTTATATATGGAATTTTAGATATCTAAACAGAATTATTTTAGGTTTAAGTTTATTTCTTTTTACTACTTGTGTACGGTATATTTTAAGTATATTTATTTAAAATCCACACATTTTTCTTTGAAACGGTTGGTGGTTGAAATTATTTTCCCCCCATTGTTTTAAATAGGAATTCGTAATGTACTCGTTGTCCATATAAATGAATAAAATTAATACGTTTTCTATTTTGCTTTTTGTTTTGACCTTAGCTAGAAATTACTAATAAATATTCTAGCAGTGATTTCTACCAAATACTCATAAATTATTAACACCCATGGCAGGGTGTGTGTTTGAAGAATAATGTGGGTAAACCGAACATGTTTCAAAATAAGGTAAAAACCAGGGTTGAACATATTTACAAGTAAAAATGAAGGTTAATCAATAAAAAGTTAACGCTTGAAAATTAAGAGAACTTTTTTGTTGTTTTCACATTTATAGGCAAAAGGGTGAAATATATTTAGTTTGTTTAGCTATAAAATATCCATAAACTCTTGGAAGGTTTTATATTGAAAATCATCAATAAGTGTAAAAAAACAAACAAATAATGTTGTATTCTTCCTTAACCTTTCAGATCGGTGAATTTTTAAAGGTTAGATATCCTGGAATCACTATTAATGCAACTTTGGAGTGAACCCTCTTTCTGAAAGTATTGATTAAAAATATACAATTCTATACATGTTTAACATTTTAAATTCTACCTTTTTTAAGGGTCATTTGAAAATTAAAAATGTTTTTTCTTAAAATTGTGAATTTTTAACGATTGTGTGAAAAAGGAAAAACCGCCTCAAATTAGATTTGAAGAATTTATGAGAAATATATCGACTGATAGAAGATATTTAGTCACAAAGCCCTTAAAGTGATAGAACCACAATTTTGTTGTCTATTTCAAACCTAATAAGTATTAATCATTCATTAATAGGGTTGATATAGTCTTTCTTTCACAGTGTTCTAATTTGCAAAAAAAAGTTGGGGTGCTTTGAACATTGATGCATTTTCTATTTCTTTTCGAAAAAACTTAAGTTTTCATATTAATGTTTACGTTTTTCCAGGAAAATAACTTCTAATGTTTTGTGGCCCTGGGGGCTCACACTACTATATTTCGACTTTATAATTTCTTATTCCCGCATTTTCTAATGTGCGAGGAAGACGATATTTTGTGTCTAAAAGCATCTGTTTGATTTAGGAGTTTGCCTGTGCTCCTCAGATGTTGCCTGTTCAGGCAGTTATCGAAGGAAATATAGGTAAATTTTATCAATTAAGTTTTGAGTCTCAAAAATGTGTAAATTAGGATTCCTGTAAAATATAAAAGTATCGCTTAGTCCTGTAAAATATAAAAGTATCTGTTAGTCCTGTAAAATATAAAAGTATCTGTTAGCCCTGTAAAATATAAAAGTGTCTGATATCCCTGTAAAATATAAAAGTTCCACTGCCCTGTAGAATATAAAAGTATCTGTTAGCCCTGTAAAAAATAAAGTATCTGTTAGTCCTGTAAAATATAAAAGTATCTGTTAGCCCAGTAAAATATAAAAGTATCTATTAGCCGTGTACAAATAAAAGTATCTGTTAGCCCTGTAAAAAATAAAAGTATCTGATATCCCTGTAAAATATAAAAGTTCCACTGCCCTGTAAAATAGTTAATTTCTCCTAACTCAGTTGTTTTTTCTAGTATTGTCTATAATTTGTTATTAAGAGTTTTCAAACTTTGTTTTTACAAGAGAAAAAAAAACAACGAAAGAAAAGGAAAGTTAGGGATTAAGTTTAATAGATAAAATGAAATGATTTGCTACATGGTGTCCCAGTAAACATGGGAATTGAGAGACGACTTGGAAGTCGTCTTTGATTTCTGATATTTAATGCAAAGAAAGTAAAAACACGAGGCTGTACGTCTGACTAACTCTACCTTTATCATATCTTAAAAATGGACAAAGATATTATTAAGACTATTTGGATTTATTAATAAATTGAAATTTGCACAAACTTTGCCATATCTCCGTCAATTTTGAAGATACAAAAATGGTAGAGAACATAGAGAAGCATTCAAGCTGAAATACTGAAATAATTGTGTTTGTGAAAAATGCCGCTTGGATTGAAGACGATATAAAAGTAGTCACTTAATTCCCATGTTTATTGGAACACCCTGTAATTTTTATCACAGTTTCAGCATGTTTAACTCTCATTTCCGCAGTAGCATTAAACGTTTGATTGAACGGCTTAAGATAAGAGAAATTACCTTTTTATTTTATTTTTAAGGAAATAGCAAATATTTGAGAAAATAAGCATTTTTTATCTTTGCATAGAAAACACACTTTTGGAGGCATCTGTAAAAACTTTCAAATCAGTTTGAATTGTTTTAGATTAAAGAAATTGTTTATTATAACTAATCTAATAATGAGTTTTCGTTTTAAATAATCAAGAAATCAAATGTCTTTATTAAGTCCAATGATTAAATTCAACTAACAATAACTATATTACTAAATTTTGTTTATTAGAAATTAAATTTAGAATTTCATTCTGTAATATCTTGACATTTCTATAAACATTCATCTGTAAACAGATTCATATTTTACACTTTAAAACTTGGATTTTAACATTTCGTGCTGAAATATCTGTCCATTTATTTTCCTTCAGATGTATTCAACTTTATTCAATAATCCACAATAATACTTTAGTTGTTATTTATACAATAATACTTTAGTTGTTATTTATACAATAATACTTTAGTTGCTATTTATACAATAATACTTTACAGGTGTTATTTATACAATAATTTTATTTTAATTGCTCCTTATACAATTATTTTACTATAGCTATTTTTATAACTGTCTGGGGGAAAACATATTTTTTGATTGATTTTTCAACAAAATACTTATTACTCCTAGGTCTCTGTAAGCTCATTTCACTTTAATCAACTTATAATACTATATTTACTAACAGTTGTATTAAAAATTACAATTCATAGCTAATCATTTCCTTAATTAATTATTTTACTGTTATTGAGATAAATTCAAAATTTCGTGCTTTGAACTAAAATCATGCCATTGAATTTAATTGCTTTATTAGAAAAAAATAACATCTAAAAAATTGAACAAAATAATATTTTCACAATAATTTTTTTTAATAAAATTTAATAAATTGTTTTGATTTAAAAACAGTTTTCCTAAGACTTATTTTTGTTGCTCTTGCTTAAAGGAATTGAGACTTTGCCAAAATCTCAACTTTTTAATTAATATATCTTTGCAACCTCGTGGTGTAAACCTGTGATATTTAAAACTTAAATTATTTAATCTACCAGAAATTATAGTATTAAATATCTTAGGTTAACAAAATTGGGTTGCAAAGATATAGGGATTGTCAGAGTTTGTGACAAAGACTAATTAATTTCTTTTGTTAAAAGTCTTGAAATTATAAAAAATCTTTTTATTCAGTATCTTGTGATGTTTTCAAGTTGAATAATTAATGAACATGGTGCTTATAATGCAGTGCATATTAAACTTTACAAATTTTCAACTTAAAACTTTTCTTCCTCCGTCTACTATATTAAGATTGGTGGAACTGATGAGTCACGCTAACCTAACGCGAAACGAACAAACTTATCATAACTGAGCTGGGAACTTTAGAATGGTGGATATCGGGATTAATGCTTGATCCACTCTTTTTCTTAATCTCCAGATTAAATAATGCTTGTTTTCCTCATGAATTTAATCTCCAGATTAAATATTTCTTGTTTTCCTCATGAATTTAATCTCCAGATAAAATATTGCTTGTTTTCCTCATGAATTTAATCTCCAGATTAAATATTGCTTGTTTTCCTCATGAATTTAATCTCCAGATTAAATATTGCTTGTTTTCCTCATGATTATAATCTCCAGATTAATTAACAGATCAGGATTAAGGATATCACATTCTAAAGTTTTCAGCTCTGGTTAAATTATATACACGCCGAACTATCTGGAACGAATCATGTTTGAAATAGACCTTTAAAGTTTATAAAAAGCCAAAAATATATTTTTTGTATTTTCCTGATGTTTTCTGTACATGAACGTCTACAGTTCATCTAATAATCGTAATTGCAGAAATATTCCATAATATATAAGCAGCAGAGATACAACATACAGAGTTTTATAGAATAAATTAAAATATGCACTTTTTAATATTTGAAACAAATGTGCGCAATGCGACAAAACAGCCAAGGCCCGTTCTAAACGAGAAAATGTGTGAACATGTTAATATATTTTAATTTCTACATTTCACAAGTTTAAAAAGGAATTGAGCCTTTGGAACAAAATCAAATATTTAAACCTCAGTATCTTTAGAACTCGATGTTGTAAACCTTTGATATTTCAAACTCAGATTATTTAATCCAACAAAATTCATAGTTTGAAATATCTAAGGTCTGCAACATTTGGTTCTAAAGATATAGTGATTAGAAAATAACAGTTTGTGGCATAGACTTTTTCATACACTTTAAATTTGAAAAAGTAAATGCGTTCTATAGATTTGATGAGCAAAATAAGGTTAATCAACAAGTTTCAATTGTTTTACATTTTATTAAAATGTGAACGACTTATCCTGCACATTTTTAGACTGAACATTTAAATAAATAAAATCAGAATTCAAGTTGGTATTTGCAAACAAACCCTTGCTTTCTTAGTTTTAATTTTCTCTAAAAATAACCTTATCATGCATATCGTGTTAAAAATTTAATAAACCCTACATGCAATACTCATATATTAATATGCCAGCAAGATTAAATTGTAGTACAGTACAAATAGAATTTTACACTCTCTCAGTACATCTGTATTCTTATGTCACAAGTGTCAACTTAGTTTTTGTGTCTAACAAAATTATTAATAATAGTGATAATTTTAGAATAAAGTAAAATAAGTGCAGTTTTGTGTGTTCTTTATTTTCTGTTTTTACACTTTTTTATTTAATCATTTAATCTTGGAAAACATGTCAACTAATGTGAGAAAATTTCGTTTACCAGGTTTTAATTGATATTTGTGACGTCGTGTTTAATTGGTCCATTTCTCTGTTGCCAGTGCCACCTTGATAAAATTATTTTGTAAAGTATAAATATAGCTTTGAAATTATGCAACAATTTGTTTGAAATTGTGAAAAAAATTACAAAAATAGAGCCAATTTCAATCTAATAAAGTATTGAAATTGATTGAATTTTTTGCGTTTTTATAATTAATTTTTATAAAAACATGAAAGATCAGTTAAAATTGGATTCAAATACAATTTTGATATCAATATTATTTTTATAAATGAACTAAAAAAGTCTGATGGACGTATCAATCACTCTTCTGAACCAAAGTTAGAAATAACAGACAGTTCTAATTTCCTTTTGACTGGGGCTATATACAATTTTTAATGTTCGCGAAGAAAAATAGAATGATCCGATGGAACAGCCTTTCAAAATTCCGATTATTTTTTGTAAAATATGACAACATTTTTCATGTATTTTGGAAAATTATGAAGGGTAATTCTTGAATTTTTTCTGATGCGTGCACCCTTAGGAAAATTCGATCCAGTATTACTTGCATTCTTTCCAGCTATAACAAGCAAAAATCTTTTGAAAAAAAATCAGCTTATAGGGACTGTAAGCGTAATTGCAAGTTACCTTTTATGAAAAGATGGCAATCCCAAATTACAATGGTACCCTTTTAAGGGTTGACTAATAAAGTATGAACTGTACATTTTTTCACAGAAATTAACAATTTTCGTGAAAAAAATCAACGTAATCTTCCACATTTCTGACCAGATTAAGGTTTCAATGGTACTATTGTAAATCGGGCATTTTTATCTTTGCAAGGAGGGTTTCTTAACATTACGCATACAGTCCCTTTTCCGCATTTTTTCTGAGATGAAAGGTATTGCCCGGACAGTAAAAACTAGGGTGTCCTGAGTTGTGCTCTTTAAATACTGTTACTCAATAGATGCAACACGCCTCTCTGAGACCTGATTGAGTTGAACGCTACTGAACAGATGAAAAAAAGGATGAACGGTGTCCAAAGTTGTGATCCTTCAATATTGGTTCAAAACAAATGTAAACTGCGTCAGTTGCCCTGATTGGATATGGCGCTACCAGAAAATTGAAATAAGGGTGAAGGATGTCCAAAGTTGTGAACCTTAAATATTAATTCAAAATAGACGCCAAAAGCGTCACTGAGACCTAATTGGGTTGAATGCTACTAGAGAGTTGAAGAGTGTTAAGGGTGTTGAGGATGAGGAATAAGTCTTGTTTTTCTGATACCGGAACACGACTAGAAGAATTATTAATGATTTGTATTTAATATTCCTAGGAAGGGAACAGTACAATAATATATTCAGGTTCTGGGTTAGAATGATCCCTCCTGAATTTAAATTATTTCTCAGTTGGTTAGATTTCCCAAGCTAAATGCAACAAAAAGAATCATTCCTTCCTTTTGACATTAACTCTTCAAAGCTTCCAGTTATATTTCAGTTTATCTTCCTGTCCATCTTAGAGTTAAAAACTCTTTGTTATACTAAATTTGATAGCTCTTTGTTATCTGTTATCTACGAGTTATCTAACAAGATGTTTTTTACAATTTAATAACCATTAAATTTTGATGACCAAGAATGATATCTACAAATGATAAAACTATGTTATCTACAAATGATAAAACTATGTGTTATCTTAAAATGATAAAACTATGTTATCTACAAATGATTAAACTATGTGTTATCTACAAATGATAAAACTATGTGATAACTGCAAATGATAAAACTATCTACAAATTACATTAGTATGTTTAATTTAAAAATTTCATTACCTTTTTTTACAAATAATTGAAAAATTTTTTATCTTTATGTCAGTCAATCCATACTACACGACAACTTTGAAATATCTGAATTGTTTGAAAATCAAAATCTTTAAAGTTTAATGTCTTTAAAAGAATTTTTTCAAATTTTAATGTTCGTTTTAATGCAGTCCGGGCATTGCTAGGCTTATTGGATTTCCATATTTGATGAGGGTTCATCAACTCAATTCAGATTCATCCTTTTAAGTCAAATTTTCTTCTTTGCCTAATCCTCAAATTTACAGTTTACCAATTCAGAACATTTCTCGGAACCATGAGCTTGAGCTATACACAACATTTTTCAAACTTAAAGGGACTGTAAACGGTAATGAAAAAATGTTTATTGAATCTAACTCGTGAATTTACTTACACTATTCATACTTTATCAGTCAAAGCACTTGAATCAGGCATTACCATCTTTTCATGAAGAGTCATTGAAATTACACTTACGGTTGTTAATTGAAAATAATTATCGTTTTTCGTTTCGTTTTTTTTTTATTATTTTCTAAAACCGATGTTTTTGAAAACAAACGATTCATTGTGAACTTTCAAAAAACAAAAGTTTTTGAAAACGCTCATTTAAAAAAACGATCAAAACTAAACAAAAAATGATTTTTGAAAACGATTGTTTTTTAAAAACTTTCCTTTTTTCTTAAAACACAATTTTTCTCTAATGAATCTGAGTTTTATGACAATTAATTCAATTTTTATTTCAGAAAGATATGTTATAAATGTTGAATGAATGTTTTGTTTAAAATGGAAACGATTGTTTTTGAATTGTCTGTTTTAAAAACATTAGTTTTTAAAAAACGATATTTTTTCAAAAAGAATCGTTGCGATTTTCGGTTTTTCTTTGTCGTTCTTTAAACGAAACGATCAATTTTTAAAAAAACTGGAAACAATCCATCCCTAATTACACTTACATACATTTAAAAGGGCACTTTTTTGAACTACTAGAATCTATATAGAGAGGACCCATTAAACTGTGAAGTATGAAGAAGACATTTAACCGTTTCTTTGTCTATTTGATATTGGTTAAACCTTGAGTCTTTTTGGTTCTTGAGGGTCATAGTACTTTAAGGCTATCAGGGAAACTAAAGGTCGGAATTAATAAATTTCGATGAATAGTTAAATTAGGTACGATCGTTGAAATACTTCTCTAGCCTCGCCAATCGTACACTAAAGAAGTTAACTAACTATATTTTGTGTTTAACACCCCCTCGCTACAGTTGACAGTGATGACCAGAAAACTGTGGAATAGGTAGACGACATTAAATCAATACTAATGTGCATTTGATTTTGTTTCAAAGCGAATAGCTTTACTAATTACTAGTAAGTTATTAAATCACTTTTTACGTAAAATGGATCTGTTTACCCTGGTTATCACTGTAATTTAACTAGCAATACCTACTTCAACAACTACTTCTCAATCCTAAAATCTGTGCTTATATTAGATTAGTTTTCTAAATAATTCTCTATTTGTCTGATAATGAAGAAAATGGATCTGTATTCAGTAAACACTTTTCTTCTCAGTTTACAAAAACAACTGACAGTAAACCTAAAGGAGATGCAACTAGAGAGAGGGGGGATGGGTCTGTACCCTTCTAAAGAATTAAAAAAAAACAATACAGCAGAATTTTGCCAGAATTTTACAAACAACTTTATCTTATTATCTATTTTTAGATAAAATTGGGTACTGTCGTGAATATGACATGTAAACCATTTCCTATTCAAGAGAAGGGGAACTTGAATTTACGTCGGTAGTCGCTTCACGGGCAACCGTAGTACATTTGAATTTCCGAGCCGGGTCAACCTTTCCGTTCCCAGTTTGTACTGTACCTAGCTCTATGGACAGGACTAGCCGGTGCGACAAGGTTGACGCGGTCAGACTTTATGCTTTAAATTGGTTGATTTACTTTTACTAAAGGGGCAGATTTGCGTAGCCATGGAACAAAATTGTTTTAAATTTTAAAATCTCTGAGTTGTGAGGCTAAAAGGGGTGGGGTAGTGGGAACTTTAAGTGCAAATTGAGGGGGGGAAGAGGGGGGGGTCTCTTTTAGTGCCTATCTTCAACTAATGAGATTAGAACATCTACTCTTTGAAGATAGATGGTTTCTTCTGAATAATTAATTATAAGCTTTATCCAATTTTCATCTTCATTAATTCTGTTGCCACGCTTTCACAATATTGTCTTTATACTTCAATTGCAAATAAATGAGAAAAGATTAACATTAAAAGCATTGAAAATGTAAACTTTAATTTCACAATATTTGGTTTAAATGAATCAGAAGAGAACTTGATCATGGAGTCAAAACTTGTGTGTGAAATTTTGCGAATCTACAACTTTAAGAGAAGTTCTTTATCCCAAGAAATATATATTGTAGTTCCAATTGATTGATTCTTCAGTTTAGTAATTACTACAGTGTACGATCACCACGAGATACCCCTAAGGGATTAAATTGATCCATAGACGGATAGATCAATGATTGATCAAACATTGATCCCGAAATTCATTTCACTAAAGTTTGAACCTCTCATTTAAGTTCTAGATTTATGAAAGTTTTTTTAGATCTTTTTGAATTTATTTAAAATTCTTTTTTAGGAGGAAAAGGATCTTTAACCTGTCGTATCCATAGTGTACCCGCCGGTACAATCACCTGGTACCGGGCCGGTACCATACTGCAGAACTACAGTACAGAGGAGAGGGGTACAAGGAAGCTCTTTGTTTATCAGAAAACTGAAGGACCAGAGATATCAAGTCTTTTAGGTAAACATAAATTTTTTTTGCTTCTGATTGTACTTTTATCTCATACAATTTGCTGTATGATTGCATATTAATAATTTAGGATTTTGCGGATTATTCTGGTTTCATTGGCGGATTTTTAAAAACCGTATTTACGTTTATTGGATATAAAAAAACAGGAAACAAACCTACCAACAGACAATCTTAAAAATGAAAAGAAATTTCTAGTGAAAAGTAGCTGATCCGAGCTCAGACATAGTTCAACCACAACGGCGTCAAAAGCTAAATAAAAGTGGTTAAACCATGTGGTCTAACTATTTATTAATCCTGTTTCCGAATTTAATGAATTTAAGCCGCGTCTCAAATTACCCAAAAACCGGTTTCAATTGAGCACCGGCTTAAATCTTGAAAAACTGAATACATTTTTAAGTGGAACCAACCATATTTGAGCCGCGGTTTAAATTTAAGCCACGGCTCAAATTCTATTCTACCTATGGTCTCTAGATGAATATATAAATTAAATCTAGTCCTGGATGAGTTGGATGAGGAGGATGGTGGAGAGTATCTATGTGTGGGAGAAAACAGTGCAGGACGTATTCAGACAAATTTTACTCTCAACACAGGTATATCTTTATATTTTACTCTTAACACAGGTATATCTTTATATTTTACTCTTAACACAGGTATATCTTTATATTTTACTCTTAACACAGGTTTATCTTTATATTTTACTCTTAACACTGGTATATCTTTATATTTTACTCTTAACACAGGTATATCTTTATATTTTACTCTTAACACAGGTATATCTTTATATTTTACTCTTAACACATGTATATCTTTATATTTTACTCTTAACACATGTATATCTATATATTTTACTCTCAATACAGGTATATCTATATATTTTACTCTCAACACAGGTATATCTATATATTTGTATATATAGAAGTTGTAATTGTCTGTTAGTTTGTTTTTCCGATCATAACTCAGGAACCCTTCACTGTTAAGTCCGGTTCATTTTAAGAACCAGGCCGACATCTATCCAGCTAGAGCGAGCTGTACAGTACACAATACACATACAGATTATACGGGAGAGTACACCAATTTATTGAACCAGTCCCTTAAAGGGAAATTCTATTGTAGACCGATTTGCCTCACATTTTGATTGGAGAACTTGAGAGAACCACGAGAATGTTCTTAGCTAAGTTTTAGGTTCAAAGATGAGTGCGTCGACATTTAAAACGAAAATTTATTTTAATCCCTCTAAAATCAACCAAGTGCGGGTAAACGGCGGAAATAACAATGAGTAACCTGGACAGTGAAGGTGTCCTTAGTATTCTTATAAAAAAGGAAGGTGTCCCGAAAAAAGGACACCTTCTGTAAATTTTAATTACATTCTTTCAGTCTACCATGATGAGAATGCAAAAAGTATTTCTTTTTTAACCCTAATCTATGTGATGATTGTGAGCAAGATTCTGAAAAATCAAATACATTGTAGACCGATACGTACAATGCATATGCATATTATTTATATTGATTTATAAGACAACATTATATCAATATTTAAGTGAAATCACTAATTTGGTAAAATAAATCTGTTTATGCACAACTGCCTTATGCTCATTGGACTTAAAGTCATAAACGGAGTCTAAAAGTTGTTTTTTTTTATTTCAGAATTTTTTTCTCACACTGTACGTACATTTCTAAAATTTAGAATCGATCAGAAAATTGGTACTCTACCGGCTAAAATATTTGTGACGTAATTGGCGACATTTATGACAATTTCAAATAATAAATTATTTATAAAAATAATTTTTGTCACACAATTAGGAAAAGTGCTTCAATTCTACATCCTTTTTGAATGACAACGTTGCATTTGTTAATAATATAATAAATAGCATAACAAGAATAATGATAATCATTATAGTAATAATAATATTACTAATAATAATAATAACAATAATAATGATAATAATACTAATAAAAATAATAGTAATATAATAATAATAATAATAATAATAATAATAATAATAATAATGATGATGATAATAATGCTAATGTTAATAAAAATGATGCTTTTAGGTTACTATGAGGTTGGAAGTGTATTGAGTGGAGGTGAGATAGCTGGTATAGCTGTAACCTTGATTCTCCTGGTTCTGGTGCTACTGGTTATATTGATGGTGGTTCTGCAGAAAATAAAACCTTATTTTGTATCAGGTATACACTATCTATTAAACTATTTATAAGTTGGTTTTTCTTTTTAGATTAAATTTTTTTCCGAATTTTTTGTGAGGAACATAATATAATTTTTATAATCATTTCTTAAAATATTCGAACATCTTTGGAGAAAATCCGGGAACCAATTTAACTTTATTGTACAGTGCTATATCATACAGACAACAAATCTAACATTTTCGTACGATGATTGCTTAATTGCACGTCTATAATGAAATTTACTATGAAGTGACTACAACGGCGTATACAGAAATAAATCTAAGGTGTGTCAAAATATACGCGAAGCGGTAACAAATTTGTTTGCCCCCCCCCCCGCCTATGAGCTTCTAGGGGGGGGGGGCAAAATTTGAATCGTAAATTCAAAACATTTGACTTCTTGGATACTTAAAAGGTACACATACAGACCAATTCCTTACAAGTACTACTTTATATCTTCTTAAAACAAAACTACCAGGAAATAAACAGCAAACTAATTTTCTTAATACTCTTTGCTCTTCAGTTTCAGATTTGAAAATTATGATAGCTGTGAGCTCTAATGGTAGGGGCTATACCACCCCCCCCCCCTTTACAGGTCCTGGTGGGGGCACTCCCCCCACGCCCCCCCTCACATGCTTACGCCCTTGAATGACTTTTAGTGATAAAGTTCAGAATAACTTCATAAATGTAATTGAATATATTAGTTGCATAAACATTGATGACTTAAGTGCATAAACCTTACTTTGTATCAGGTATGCGTCGGAAAAAAACATGTTACAATGTTACAATATATGCATAAGAAATGAACTGCTCACTATAGTTTTTCAATTCTTATATTTTTGCACCCTGATGATGTGAACCTCTGGTTTTTCTTTTTTATACTTCTTGATCCTACATATTCCATTGTTAAAAATATCAAAGATTAACGACATAAGGTTGCAAACAAATTAGAATTTGTGGCGAATTTTCAGTTACTTTACAAAATCTGATCAAACAAAACTGAATTCAAATTAATTTAATGGAATTTAGATTACGCGTATTTTCAACTAATTAATTAAATTACATGATTTTCTGTATTTCAATGTTTTAATTAGAGGTTTCACAGCGGCCAGTTTACTATGCACAACTAGTTAATTTTGAGGGTTGCAATAAACATGAGAATTTGGCCTAGATCGTTCTTTTGCATTATAGAATAAAAAGGAAGGTTATTGAGAATTTTTTAAGATTTGACTTCTTTTGATATCTTTGCAACCTAATGTCGTAAACTTTTAATATTTCAAAAGATAAATTTTGTCAAAGTTTGAATATCAAAGGTTCATATGTATAAATTTCAATATCAATTTAAATATGGATTTGAAAATTAGAGCGTGTGACAAGTGCTCCTGGTCCTTAAACTTTTTGGCTAATGATTTCAAGAGAACTGTCAACTAAATACTAAACTAAAGTTTCAAATATACATTTGCGGATTTGCAGGAGAGTGACATTTAATGTCACTTCCCTGGACCAATGTTAGCTTTAAACTATCTGAATTGTAACAATCAAAATTAAAACAAAATACCTGTTGAAAAAAAGTAATAATAGAACAATGTGTTGAAGAGAAAAACTTTTTTACTTTGTGTTCTTTTTTGGAGCCAAATAAATTCCTCAATGTTATAATACACGGATTAAATTAAGCAAAAATTTTCTTAAAAATAATTTTTTATCTTTAATGTTTCCACAGGGAAAAATAATTTAAAAATACAGAATGAGGGGGGGGGGGAGGGGAGTGCTACCCATCAGGCTCCTTTTCTTGTGATAATCTCTCTCTATCAATCTATCTGTCTATCCTTATGTCTCCTCGACATATATTAGGTTTTGAAGATTAAAGGTGAAATATGAAGAAAATTTCTTCTCAATCTCACTCTCTATTACTCTCTCTCTTGCTAGCTTGTTTGCTGGCTTGCTTAATTGTTGCTTGCTTCCTTTATTGCTTGCATTCTTGCTTAATTGATTGCTTGCTTGCTTTATTGCTAGCATTCTTGCTGAATTGCTTGCTTTATTGCTTGCACTCTTGCTGAATTGCTTGCTTGCTTGCTTTATTGCTAGCATTCTTGCTTAATTGCTTGCTTGCTTGCTTTATTGATTGCACTCTTGCTTAATTGCTTGCTTGCTAGCATTCTTGCTTAATTGCTTGCTTGCTTGCTTTATTGATTGCACTCTTGCTTAATTGCTTGCTTGCCTGCTTTATTGTTTGCATTCTTGCTGAATTGCTTGGTTGCTTGCTTTATTGCTTGCACTCTTGCTTAATTGTTGCTTGCTTGCTTTATTGCTTAATTGCTTGCACTCTTGCTTAATTGCTTGCACTCTTGCTTTCTTGTCTGATTGCTTGCACTCTTGCTTAATTGTTGCTTGCTTGCTTCATTGCTTGCATTCTTGCTTAATTGCTTGCACTCTTGCTTAAATGTTGCTTGCTTGCTTTATTGCTTGCATTCTTGCTTAATTGCTTGCACTCTTGCTTAATTGCTTGCTTGCTTGCTTTCTCGTCTGATTGCTTGCACTCTTGCTTAATTGTTGCTTGCTTGCTTTATTGCTTGCATTCTTGCTTAATTGCTTGCTTGCTTGCTTTCTCGTTTGATTGATTGCATTCTTGCTTGCTTTCTCGTTTGATTGATTGCGTTCTTGCTTGCTTCTTTCCTTGCTTGCTTGCTTGATTGATTGCTCTTTGCTTGCTTGCTTCATTGATTGCTTACTTTGCTTGCTCGCTCGCTTGCTTGATTGCTTGCTTGGGTGCTTGCATTCTTGCTTGCTTGTTTGTTTGCTCGAACTCTTGCTTGCTTGCTTGAGTGCTTGCTTATTTCCTTGCTTGCTTGCTTAATTGCTTGCTTGCTAGCCTAATTGCTTGCTTTCTCGCTTGCTTGCTTGCTTCCTTGCTTTATTGCTTGCTTCTTTCTATCCTTTATTGTTTCACGTATTTATGAATTATGGCTTTGTTTCCTTTTTTAAATTTATTTTCTTTCTCTCTCTCTTTTTTTCCCTTGTTTCTCTTTCTCTTTTATGTTTTTTCTGTTCCTGTTATCCTTTCTTTCTTCCTTTTTCTTAAGGTTTTTCCTCTCTTTTATTTCTCTCTCTTTTCTTGATCTCTTTCTTTATTTCTTAATTTTCTCTCTTACATTCTTACTCTGTCTCTCATTCTCTCTCTCTTTATCTGTATGCTGAGAGTAGAATTGAGTCTGATCTTCCCATCACCATCCATCATTTCTCATCAACAAACCAGATCAAAATTTCATTTTTACGGGGTGTAAAACAATTTAGTAGATTCAAACATTTTACGGGGTGTAAACAATTCCGTAGATTTAGAAAATTGTTAAAGGTGCAAAACATTTTATTAGGTTTTAACTTTTTTGGGGTATAAATCAATTCCGTAGATTCAAAAAATTTTCCGAGTGAAAACAATTCCGTAAATGCAAACATTTTCATAGGGTGCGAAATGATTCCGTAGATTCAAAATTTTTATTTCAATAGCCTGATTCAAATATTTTATGGGGTGTAAAACAATTTCGTAGATTCAATAATTTGTTAAGTGGAAAGCATTTCCGTTTTTAAAAGTTGCAATGGTAGGTGTCGAAATTTTAATGTTTAAAATCTAGTCTATCTTATCTTAACGTTTTCAGCTGTCCCAATACGTTTACTTAAACTTTTTGATTTCCGCGCATTTTCTTTTCTAATCTCTTGTCTAATTTTTTGTCTGTTTTTTTTTGTCTAATGTCCTTTTTTATGTCCTTGTCTAATTTTCTTGTACAATTTCTTTGTCTAATTTTCTTGTGTAATGTCCTTGTCCAATTTTCTTGTCTAACTTCCTTGTCTAATTTATTGCCTAATTTTTGTCTAATTTTCTTGTCTAATGTCCTTGTCTTATGTTCTGTCTAATTTTCTTGTCTAATTTCTTGTCTAATTTCTTTTCTATTTTTTTTGTATAATTTTTTTTGTCTAATTTTCTTTTCTAATGTCCTTGTCTAATCTTCTTGTCTAATTTCCTTGTCTTATGTTCTTGTCTAATTTTTTTGTCTAATTTCTTGTCTAATTTATAATTTTTTGTCTAATTTTTTGTTGAATTTTCTTGTCTAATATCTTTTTCTAATTTTCTTGTCTGATGTTCTTGTCTAAATTTCTTGTATAACTTCCTTGTCTAATTTCTTGTCTAATTTTTTTGTCTAATTTCATTGTCTAATTTCCTGCCTAATTTTTGTGTCTAATTTTTTAGTCTATTTTTTGTCTAATTCTAGTCGAATTTCTTGTCTAATTTTCGAATTCTGAAACTTGTTGTTTTCTACTTCAGTCTATGGTGAATAATATTGATGTAATATTAAACCAAAGAGAGAAATGTCTGAAAGATAATGAGATCTCAAAAACCAAATATTCTCATTATTTGCAAATAAGTACATAAGGGACTCTTAATGTAATGGCAATTGAGATTATATCAAAAGAAAAAAACATGATATCTTAAAAAGAAAACATCCTGCCAATTTAATTTTTTGTTTCTGCAAATTATTTTATAGAGAAACCACGAATGAAAATAATCAATTTTCAGAACATTAACAAGGACATCTCCATCATCCATTTTAAAGATAGTTTTGAGTCGGACATTTTAAATGGAGGATCATTTAAAATTACGAAGACTGTCCCTTTAATATCTAAATTGTAGGTAAAAAGCAGCGAGGGGGAGTTGATACAACTGATCAGGTAGCCGGGGGGCCAGCTGACCAGCAGCCTAGTCAGGCAGCGCAGGCCGGACAGAGTAATCCTGTTCAGAATCCTCCAAGGATTACAGAGCTAACGAAAGGTAATGCATAGCTTAGATTTACCTTTAAAGGGAGTGTTCGCAAAAAATGAAAAGGGGTATATGATTACGGCGAAAAATAAGCGCTTTTGATCGCTACTAATCTTATTTCTATTTGTTGTGTCTATTATGGGAATTGATAAAAACGACTCATGCTGAAGAACGTAGCGTCCATACAAATTCAGAAAGTTGCATCATTCAACTCGGACAATAAAAAAATTAATTTAATTCCAAACAAATCATTCAGATATTACAACCAATAATCATCGATGATTTTTTGACTCATTCGTATATAGTTAATTAATATTTCTTAATAATTTAATTTTTTTTAAATAATATTTCACAGGCGCTGGATTTTCGAACATTCCTGGAAAATGTGAATATGTCGTCTTCATTATGAAAATCCTCGAAACAGGAATAAATTTTTTCGAAAGTAAATATCAGATTAAAAAAAATTTTAAAAATAATGAAATATCAAATATATACGATTGCGTCGAAAAATTATCAATTAAATTAAGCTGAAAGGCAATGAGTTTTGGACCCAAACACTTCTTTTAAAAACCCAATATCATGCAACCTAAAGTCGTATACCGTTGATATTTAAAACTATGAATTCTGTTGGATCAAAATGTTTTAGTTTAACATATCAAAGGTTTATACACCAGATATAGGGATTAGAAAATCTGAGTTTTTTGCAGATACTGATTTCTTTAAAAGTGGTTCAAATTTGAACCGGCGATAGGCAGTTCAGTGAGGTATAGATCAGGCTCAAATTCTTTAAATTCGATCTCAGTTCTTTTTACTGAAACAATTCTTCAGACCTATTTTTTAAACAAAAGAACGAATTATATGATGATTCGTGGTGTATGATAAACATTTAAGATTGCATGCTGTAATATATTATATATATATATATATATTATATAAGCTTTTTTCTTTACGAATTATCTTTGGATATAATCAGCTTCCTTTATAAACGTAGAATATTCTTGAACTTTATCAAAATGGTTTAAAAGAGATGTTTTATACTTTTTTTTACTCTAACTGGCAACTAATTTAAAAGCCTTCTAATCTTACCTTGTAGGGTGGGACAGAAAGAGAAGATGTTTGCGTGAGTGTTTAGTGTGTGGTTGTGTGTTTTATGTATGAACCTAGAAATGAGGGTGCTTGGTGCCCTTCAGGAATTTAGATCTTATTTTCTTTGTTTGATTGGAATGCAAGATTCCCTTAAACACTAGAAATTGACATAGGCTTGTAAGGACGACATTTTTATTTGTTTATTTCTGTATTTCAGATTTACAATGGTTTTCTTGTTGAAATCAATCTAAATGATATCTTAGAGATTGTTGATTTCTGTTCATTTTCTTTTTTGTTTCTGCAGCATAAATCCTCAAAATTATTTTATAGAAAACCGCAACCAATTATTTTCAATTTTAAACTAGAAAACTGAAAATATTTCCTCATCAATGATTAGATAAATGGTTTGTTAATCAAAATGAAATTTAATTAAAATAATGTCTTTAATCCCTTTCCGAATAAACGTTAATTTCCTAGTTACAGATAACATAATATTATGATTGTAGGTGAAATCCGAACTAATGGGAGTATAGCAATCAACGGAACTACCTACACCCCACCCTCTGGTGTACAGAACGGATATATAAACCCCGATGTGATTCCTAATTTACCAAACGGGATCATTGGATCGGATAGTAGTGACACAAGTGGTAAGCAAATTGTAAAATTAAAGAAAACTGTACGATTGAAAGGAATTGAGTTTTTGCCACAAGCTAAAATCTTCTGATTCCAATATCTAATTGCAATCTTGAGGTGCAAACCTTTCATATTTCAAACTTAGACTATTTTATCTATAAGTATTAATAGTTTGAAATATCTTAGGTCAACGAAAAAGGGTTACAAAGATATAAAGATTAAAAAATCAGAGTTTGTGGCAAAAACTCAACTCCTTTGACATTGTTTTAGTTTTAATATTATAACTTCTCTTATTATAGAGATATTGAGAAGATCACAATGTTTAGAATTATCTATATGTAACTCTATACTTTTCTTGCATACTGTATAAGTTTGACCTCATCCCCCTGAAGCCCTCTCTCGTATATAGTTTTCAGTTGAAAATAAACCTAATATTTTGTAAAAATATCGATCTAGAAACTATGAACATGTTGCTCAAAATTATGAACAAAATAATAGGGATATCTTTTAAATGTTTACATTCTTAACATTTTGTTTAAATTAATTTAAAGTATTATAATGTTTTCGATAAAATGTCGATACTACGAATTTTTTTTTTCACATATAAGCATCGAAGCCTCCGAGTAAATATAGAAAAGTCTACGTTATAAAAAAGATCTGAACCACGCGTACTTAATTCAACTACCTGACTCTTATTATCATTATTTCTCATTCTATTTATCAAAAGTAAAACTGTAAGAGAAATTACATGGTATTTTGTTTCTTTTTTCTCCACATACACTATTTTATAATTTTCTCCACATACTCTATTTTATAATTTTCTCCACATGCACTATTTTATAATTTTCTCCACATACTCTATTTTATAATTTTCTCCACATGCTCTTTTTTAAAATTTTCTCCACATACTCTATTTTATAATTTTCTCCACATACTCTGTTTTATAATTTTCTCCACGTACTCTATTTTATAATTTTCTCCACATTCTCTATTTTATAATTTTCTCCACATACTCTATTTTATAATTTTTTCCAAATGCTCTATTCCTCATTCTATTTATAAAAAGTAAAACTGTATGAGAAATTGCATGGTATTTTGTTTCTTTTTTTCTCCAAATGCTCTATTTTATAATTTTCTCCACATACTCTAATTTATAATTTTCTCCACATTTGCATTCTCTGTTTTATAATTTTCTCCACATACTCTATTTTATAATTTTCTCCACATTCTCTATTTTATAATTTTCTCCACATTCTCTAATTTATAATTTTCTCCACATTCTCTGTTTTAAAATTTTCTCCGCCCGCTCTAACTTATAAGTTTCTCCACATACTCTATTTTATAATTTTCTCCTCCCACTCTAATTTATAAGTTTCTAACTCATAATTTGTTCAAACCAGGAAAATCTGACCTTTGAAATATAATGGACTTGAAAATAATTTTGATTTAGTTTTGTTAAACTTTTTGATAAAATATGAAAATTTGCACGGTTTTAGCTTTTCAGAATAACTTTTTTTCCTCGAACTAATTCGACCAAATGTATTTCGCTGAAACCCTTAGGATTTTTAACAATTGCCCCCTCTTATTCCCCCCCCCTTCTCTACTCAATTACCCCCAGACACCCCCCATCTCCAATAATTACAGGTCTTAATAAACTTAATGCCTGTTAGTTCTATTAATGACTAGTAATTATTTCACAGTTTAATTATAATTAATCTATGATTGGAAAAAAGAAATATAAAAAGTTAATTTATATTTTCAGTAAAGCAGAAGAGGATTGAAGACATGTATAGTAATTAAAGAATATTCTGCGGTCGTTCAACTCTAAAAGAATTATTTAAAGGGACTGTACGCGTAATTTCATATGACTCTCCTCTTGAAGACGGGGCAGTGCCAAATTTACATCGCGTCGGCGCCCTTGAAACCTTAATCTGATCAAAACCGCAATTGAAAATTATCAGAGGCCGAATTTAAAGCATTTGAGCCGCGGCTTAAATTTAAGCCGTGGATGAAATATGGCTGGTTCCACTTAAAATGGTGTTCAATGTTTCAAGATTTAAGCCGGCCGGTTTTCGGCGGATTTAAGCCGCGGCTCAAATTCATAAAATTCGGACTCAGTTCAAAGAAACAAAAACATGGATATTTAATTAATACTTAATAAAACAAAGATTTTAATGATGTAAATCGGGCATTGAGATCTTTGCATGGAGGGTCTCTTGTTATTTCGCTTATATTCCATTTAAGAGGCATTGGTCTGATTAAACATTTCTTTAATTGGTCCAAACAATTTCATGTCAAAATTCCCCTCCGAATATTAATTTAGTTCTAAACAATTTATTTTTACTTATTAACTTATAATCGTTAGAGATGGGGGGGGGGGGGTAAACACGTTTTATTCTAACATTAACATTCGCATTTTTGTCTCAATGTTTCTGCGTTATTTATGTTTTTATAGATGCCATGGTCAATTATGTTGATTTTTCATTTATGATTTTTCTAGAAAAGTAACTTGCGGATATATACTCTAAAGAAGTTGGAGGAAATTTACAGAATTTAACCCTTTTCGAGATTAAAAAACGCCAAAAAATGATATAAAAGTACCATTGTTAATCATTGTAAATGGAATTTAATTTGAATTTAAGTTTACAGTTCCTTTAATAACGTAACCCCCTCCCCCTCTCCCCCGACCACCTGTTCCTAGAATTATCCTCTCTAAACCAAGGTTATAATGCAAGGAAAGTTGATTGCGGTTGCGTATTCTCTGCGTACATATTGAAACCAGTTCTCTCTGGGCGGAAGTTGTAAACAAGAATTGATGCATCAGTGTTCGTTTAGTATCCTAGGAGGTTAACAGCATTAAGTTTTGATAATTTTGATAATTCACATAATAGTTTCCTATGACCAGAATATTTCATTGATTTTTATTTGAAAGATGGATCCCATGCCAGGCTTCGACATCCGTCTTGTGTTTACATTACTGCCCAAAGACACTAAACTGCAGTACAAAAGATGCGTACACCTCTGAAATAACTTTCCTTGCATTATAACCTTGCTCTAAACCAACATATCCTGAATCCCGTGAAAAAGTTTACATTAAGGTTTTTGTATGCTTTAGGATCTGAGATAAGAGTCCACTATTCGGAGGAAATTGCACAAAATCTTGCAAACCGACAAACAGACATTACAGGTTGGTATAATTGCACATGCGAAAGGTATAGCAATAAGAGTCCAGGGAATGGGGGGAGGGGACTTAAAACTTACAAATGTAACGAAAAATGATACGCAGCCAGTAAAAGTAAGTCTAAGCATAGTTAGAATTACTAAACAAAGAACTTAACAAAATTACCATTTTTTAAAGAATTTAATCTTTGCTCAAAACTCCCCATACCTTTGCAACCATATGTCGTGGACCAAAGATTTATATTACAATCTTTAAATTCTGTTAAATCAAATAATCTAGGCCTGAAATATCAAAAAAAGGCAAATGTGTACGTAAAGAACAACAAACATGAAAAACACATACAATGCAATTTTGTAAAATGGTCCAGGTGATATTTTCCAAGATTTAACCAATATTTTGGCGTACACCCAAATTTACCTGTATGTAGAATTCTGCATAATAGTTAACAAGAATGTATATTGTATATATATATTTAGATATGTATATATTTAGATATATATATATGTATATATATCTATATGTGGATATTAGCATAACCAAGGAATATTTAAATCAGGAATATCATTACGACAGAAACTGCAGTACACTTTTCTGTTACCCTGGAACATTCAAAAATTAGTTTACAAAATTAGTTTGTACTGAGAAATATATTTAAACAAACTCAATATTAAAAACAAAGTTTTGGCGTAAAAATTCATTGAAAACCCTCCTTTCTTTGTAAATATAAGATTTTACATTAGTTTCTGGGAGAAACATAAACAAACTCGGTCTGAACAGCAATTCCCAGAACCTGCAGTACAATTTTTAATAAAAATAAAAGGGGACCCATGAAACTAAGCTATGATTTAAAACTTTAAATACAGAAATTGTGCAGTGTACCCAGACCCATTTTAATCGGTTGATTTTATTTCATTTTAATGTAGATAAGGTGGTTCCTGCTTTATATTTTTTAGTGTTGTTTGTTCTTGTTCTCAATAGTTCTTGTTCTCAATAGTTCTTGTTCTCAATAGTTCTTGTATTAAAGTCTACAGATCTTAATATTCTAGGTTTTCCTGTTGCTGGCTCCACCCCCCGTGGAGGTGCATTAGGGCGGTACGAAAACTTCCCGCCCCCTCTCAGTAGCGTTGGAGTCTCTAGCCCTAGCTATTCAAGGTTAAACTCATCTTTTTATTTTTTCAGATCATACATTAGGACTACTCTTGTCGTCCAATTTTAGACAATCTTAGTCCTATTGTATACAACATTAGTCCTATTTTATACAACATTAGTCCTATTTTATTCAACATTAGTCCTATTTATAAAACAGTAGTCCCATTTTATGTATATCTGGTCCACTTTGATCAAACTGGTTTGGTCCTCGAATCTAGTCCAATAAACTAATTCTCAGCCGGAAAGTTAAGAGAGTTTCTCCTAAGTTTCCTTTTTTGGGTTCAATGCATTTGTTTAGATTTTAAGCTCAGAAATCACGAAACAAAAAGGGAACGTAAAGAAACCACATGAAATAATATTCCATAGTAATAACATTTGTGTCTACAAAACTGTCTGACCCGAATCATGAAACTGGGTTTCGTAACGATACTCTGTTTTAAGTTTCAGGCTCTCTGGTTTGATTCTAGATATATTCCGGATTTGTATTTTCTGACCCCTTGGGAGGTTTTCTTATTATTTGCTTCAATGCATTTTCTAGTTTCCAATAGTTCTTATCATTCAGATTCTTCTTCTTAAGCTTATTCTACCCTTTTTGTATTTCTTCTTTAGAGGCGATTTCAGGCGGAGTTTTCTTACACTTTTGGATCCCAGCAATCATAAACTTTTTTTTGTCAAATCATTAAGTTAAATATTTAAATAGTAAAGCAGGTTGTCCTGTTATCCGGTTCATCCTTAATCTTATAAGAATGATAATGAATCTATGTTTTACTTAGGTTAGAAAGCGACAGTCTCTACCCGTCCTCTTTATATGATCTAGGACGACCTTTAGATCCTCTAATGGCCTCCATGGAGGTCCAGAGAACACCGATTGAAGGCCGGCGGTCCGGTCGTCATAGTCCAGCCATGCGAAGTCCCAAACCTACCACAAGGACCGGGCTGGAAAGTCCTAAAACTTTACCCCGGTCCTGTTTTCGTCCTTCTCCGGGTGGGTTGAATAGTCCAAGGACTGTGAGGAGTTCACAATTCAATAACTCAACGCTAGGGGACGAATCCTACAGGTATTATTAAACATTAAAAGAATACTTAGGCTGAAACTTATTGTCTATTGATAGCGCGTAGCCACAGATTAGACTTTTAAATTAAAGGATTTATTTTCCATTCTGTTCTACTTTCATAAAATATTTTAAATTTAGTTCTGAGAGATTTGGAGAGTTGGATTTAAGTGTTTCTAGTGCTTCCGTCTTCCAACCTGAATCCCAACCCTTCCAATCCAGTGAATTCAACTCCATCTACGGACAAAAAAGTGAACTAAGGACTCACGGAGGTACCCCCCTCCAGTACCGTTTAAACCCTGGGTACCAGGACTCAACGGGCGGATTTAAACCTGAGCACACGTTTAATACTAATGGAGAGTCAACCTTGCAGTTGAACAGAAGATCGGACAGTTTCGTGTACGGCACTCTTCCTAAAGGTATAGTTTTGTGTACAGCACTCTTCCTAAAGGTATAGTTTTGTGTACAGCACTCTTCCTAAAGGTATAGTTTAGTGTACGGCACTCTTCCTAAAGGTATAGTTTTGTGCACGGCACTCTTCCTAAAGGTATAATTTTGCGTACGGCACTCTTCCTAAAGGTATAGTTTTGTGTACGGCACTCTTCCTAAAGGTATAGTTTTGTGTACGGCACTCTTCCTAAAGGTATAGTTTTGGGTTTTAAAGGGATTGTTCACGAAATTGTTGGCCACCATGCTTGTTCATGTATATCAGCGTCATTTTATTAATCCTTACCACTATAGTTTCATTTGAAAAAAATATTTTCATTCACTGATTGCGCAGATTGAAGGATTCATAACTCTAATTGGATTGAGATATGTAGACACATATAAATGTTTCCGCTATACTATTTCTATTGGTTCAGAATAGACAACGAACACATGAATGAACCCTGATTGGATCAGGCGTTAATAGACTCGGCATACAGGAGTAATTACATTTTTCGCTTTTCTTTGTTTGTAAATTTTCACTTTCATTTAATAAAAAATCTGAGTTTAAATCGTATATGGCAAAATGATGAAATGAAATCGGTTGAAATTGCACCCTAGAATAATTGTTCTTAGACATTTTTTGTAAAAAAGTTTTATTTTGTTCAGGGTTGTCTGGAAAGGCTGTGTTAGAATCCCGAGTACCTGATTGGCTGAATCCATCCTATCCTTCCAACCATTCACTCTCACAACCAGCCTCAAACTCATACTCACAACCCAGACCATACTCACAACCCTACTCCCAACCCCAGTCCTACTCCCAACCCCAGTCCTACTCCCAACCCCAGTCATATTCCCAACCAAACTCCCAATTCTCTCAACAGCAATATTCCCAACCTTTATCCCAATCTTCTAACTATTCTCAACAGCCATCCTATCCTACTGACTACGGGTTACCTTACAGGTATTATTATTATTATTGATATCATTATAAAGTTTATTTAGATACATAAAGAAATTGAGTCTTTGCCACAAACTCTGATTCTCTACTCCCTGTATCTTTGCAACTCAATCTCTGAGACCTCTATATATTTTAAACAATTAATTCTGTTAGATCAAGTAATCTAAGTTTGAAATATCAAAGATTTACACCCTCAGATTGCAAAGATATAGAGATTAGAAAATATAAGTTTAGTAAAGACTCAATTCCTTTCATGCACTCCTGATTGGGGCTTTAAACATTTATTCAAAAACGTTTTGCTTTGTCCAGAAATATTTATTTACATCACATTCTGATAAAATATAAATTTCTCCCAAAAACTGTGTTCATGTCATTTTTATATAAATTGAGAAACTATCTTATGCACAACTTTATACTTCTTTCTATATTTTTACATAAAACTTATTTAAATTCGACTACTTCAAATTTAAACAGCAAAAGCAGGCAGCAAATAAAAATATATTCAATGGTTTTTTTTGGAGAATTAACCCAGCAATAGCGGTTGAACACGCGGTTGAGAATTGAACACATTAAAGACTCTTTAACAGTTTAAATTACGCGAGGAAAACCCTCTTTTTTCATATATTTTATCTCTTCAGCAAATAGAAACACACATATTTGAAAAGAAAATGTTTGTTTCAACCGCTAGAATTACAAAACTCTTTTTCCTTCAATCGCTGGAAACTCCAGAGTATATATCATTGCAATAAATTCAGGTATTAAGGCATCAGTCGTATTTTTCAATATTTCAAAATATTTATGGTCAATTAGGATATTTCTCTAGCGGTGCATCACAAAATATAAAACAAGCAGATAAACTGACAGATAGTCCCCAGCAGATGTCATATATCTTGTAATTTGTGCAGATAAACTGACAGACAGTCCCCAGCAGATGTCATGTATCTTGTAATTTGTGCAGATAAACTGACAGACAGTCCCCAGCAGATGTCGTATATCTTGTAATTTGTGCAGATAAACTGACATACAGTTCCCAGCAGATGTCGTGTATCTTGTAATTTGACAGATAAACTGACATACAGTCCCCAGCAGATGTTATGGATCTTGTAATTTGTGCAGATAAATTGACAGACAGTCCCCAGCAGATGTCATGCATCTGCAATGTATCTTGTAATTTGTGCAGATACACTGACAGACACCCTCCAGCAGATGTCATGCATCTGTAATGTATCTTGTAATTTGTGCAGATAAACTGACAGACACCCTCCAGCAGATGTCATGTATCTTGTAATTTGTGCAGATACACTGACAGACACCCTCCAGCAGATGTCATGCATCTGTAATGTATCTTGTAATTTGTGCAGATAAACTGACAGACACCCTCCAGCAGATGTCATGTATCTTGTAATTTGTGCAGATAAACTGACATACAGTCCCCAGCAGATGTCATGCATCTGCAATGTATCTTGTAATTTGTGCAGTTACACTGACAGACACCCTCCAGCAGATGTCATGCATCTGTAATGTATCTTGTAATTTGTGCAGATAAACTGACAGTCAGTCCCCAGCAGATGTCATATATCTGTAATGTATCTTGTAATTTGTGCAGATAAACTGACAGACAGTCCCCAGCAGATATCATATATCTTGTAATTTGTCGGATAAACTGACAGACAGTCCCCAGCAGATGTCATGTATCTTGTAATTTGTGCAGATAAACTGACAGACAGTCCCCAGCAGATATCATGTATTTTGTAATTTCAGTTAAAACTGCTAAGTTACACTTCAGTCTTCAGTCTTAACATTTACACTGTTATAATTACGGAAAAGAAATGGTGCACTAGAAACAGTCTATCTACTGAGTTTGAAATATCTTAAAAATTTATAATAAAATTTATATTTCTTTTACTCTGATCTTGATTCTAGCGTTTTAAAATTTCTTTAAATTTCTTAGATTTTAAAGATTTCATGAAAATATCATATCTATTGAAACAGTCAAAGGGCAGGTTATATCTAAGTAATAGTTCACATTTATTTTTGTAATTCTAAAAGCGCGATAGCCATTGGTATTAATTGTACGACAGTTCTAAAAACAATAACAAAAAACATTCTGTATCAACTGTGTTATTATCTAAAGTTTTAGGGTGTATTGAATACATGAAATAATGTTGAAATATATTCTCACATTTATGTTAAATCTGTTGACACATATATATAAATCTTAAAATATAAAAAGAATAAACTTTCAGGTTTGGAGGAATAGTTAATCCTCTGGAGACCCTTGAGGAGGAGGAGATTTCAAGCCCGGAGTATATTCATCCATCAATCAGAGCTCTAGATATGCTTAATCATACTCCAGGTAGTATTATCTTAATCATACTCCAGCTAGGAATATCTTAATCATACTCCAGGTAGGATTATCTTTCTTATACAGTTAAAATATATCTTATTATGTTAAGTAAAATCTAGTTTAAGTTTTCCTCCTATTTTTAAGGTTTTGTTTTTATTTATATTAATTGATTTCTAACAAACCGAATTTAAAGAAGGATAATCTGTTTCTTTTAGACATTCACAAAACTTTTAAGTTTTAATGCAATTTCCTTTTTCTCACGCAACCTCCCTTGGGAGTGTAGGCTATTTAATAGTTTGCACGCAATATAATAATTTTTTTAACGTATTTACATTTTAGGTTCTGGTTTTACAAAAACTAATATGGATAATTCGTCATCACAGGAATTTATTCATTCGAAATTTTAATAATTGAACTAAATTACATTTTCTTAAGATCGATCAAGATTTAAACACACATTCTAACATGAAATCTTTCTTAATAATGAAACATTAAAATTATTCGTTAATAAATTTAATAGAACATAACAGAAAATCTTTTATAAAGATAAACTAAAAACTGTAATGGAAAATGAAAACTGTTCTTAATAACAGAACATGTAAAATCATCCTGATAATAGAACAAAACAATTTTTCAATGTATTTGTAAATAAAAACTATTCGCAATTATGTTTATAGTAAGAATTGGTTAATAGTATTTAAACCTATTATTGTTTTTTTTATTATTTTTTCTGTTATTGTTATTGTTAGAATAATAATTATTTTAAAAACCAGCTGTAACTAAAGAGTATTAAATATTATCAGTAAACACAAAGTATAGTTATGAATTTGATAGTTTTTATTTAAGGCTTACCTTTTTCTTCCTAAGTATACGATGAAAAATACAGAACGATTACTTTTGAAAAAACAAATTATATTCTTTAATACATTTTTCTACCCACTTTACTTTTGATCTAAATTCAATTTACTTCTTTAATCTAAAATTAAAAAAGTAGCAAAAAATATTTGAATAAAAAATGATTCTACAGGGTTACTCTCAAAGAATGAGACTTCAGAGACAACAGTATACGGAATTAATATTGTCTGTTTACTTAAATTCATGAAACCCTGCGACTGTAAACTTAATTCTTTCTTTGATAAATCATGAAATATTCCATTGATAACCTATTTTTCCTGTGAGAAGACTTATTGAAACCTTGAAATCGTCATATTTCAAGGTTTTCAAGTCGTATTTAAGTCGCATCCTTTGTGGGTAACCCTGAATTAAGATAGCCCATGTTGCAGTATTACGTATATTGATTCAAAATTATTCCTTATTATTTATTAAAATAATGCATACAAAGTTTTCGATTTCTATAATTTGCACAAAAACGACGAACTTCGATAAATGTCAGTCTAACATTTAAATGGGGTATAAATACACGATATTAATCGTTATTTACTTTATTTATAGATATCATCAAATTCATAATTATTGATGAAATGATCACTACAAATATTAATAAGAAAATAAGAAAATAAGGATGGAATAAGTACATTTTTATCTAAAACTAAGCTTCGAAGGCTGTCTTCGTTCTTTGAAATGATTTTAGATTTTTAACGTTAATAAAAATTGCAATAACAAATTTCGCAGATTTTTTGGTCACCATTAGTTGATTTTAAAAATCAGTTCGAAATTCCCTTTTTAATTTTGATGAATGAGTTCCTCCAGGAGTCAAGTAGTGGAAGAGGGAGTAGTAGTCCTAACACAACAAGATCTTGGACTAAACCTTTAAAACAATCTAAACAAGGTATTTGTAATGGTTAAAATATGGTTCACACGCAGAGTTTCATTTTATTGTATTTTATTGTATTGTATTGTATTGTATTGTATTGTATTGTATTGAATTGTATTGTATTGTATTGTATTGTATTGTATTGTATTGTATTGTATTGTATTTTATTGTACTGTATTGTATTGTATTGTATTGTATTGTATTGTATTGTATTGTATTGTATTGTTTGTGTTGTGTTGTATTGTATTGTATTGTATTGTATTGTATTGTATTGTATTGTATTGTATTGTATTGTATTGTATTGTATTGTTTTGTATTGTATTGTATTGTATTGTATTGTATTGTATTGTAGGATCAAGTCCCCGTGAGTCCCCAGACGAAGGAATACAAACAGATTGCGGGACTGATGTTTAATTGTTAAACCATACCAGATATCCATACCAGATATCCAGACCTGATATCCATACCAGATATCCAGACCAGATATCCAGATCAGTTATCCAGACCAGCTATACAGACCAGATATCCAGATCAGATATCCAGACCAGAAATCCATACCAGATATCCAAACTAGACATCCATACCAGATATCTACACCGGATATCCAGACCAGATATCCATACCAGATATCCACACCAGTTATACAGACCAGATATTCAGACAAGATATCCTTACCAGATATCCACACCAGATATCCAGACAAGATATCCAGACAAGATATCCTTACCAGATATCCAGACAAGATATCTTTAACATATTCAACAAACATGTCGTTCAATATTAAATGAAAACATTTATTCAATTAAAGACAAGAACTTTTTCATTTACAAGAATCTTTATATTTTCAGCTAAACCAATTAACTGAACAAATCCAACTTACAATCAATAAACTCACAATTTCCCTTTTAAAGCTCCAGAGGTCGAAATTTTTGAGGTAGCGAGAACATTTGAAGCGATTGCGCGATTAATCCGTGAAGAAGTTAATCCACATCTTCGCGATTCCTCCTTCACCGAGAGCAGAGTTGCTTTAGATCTGTCGATGTTGCCATTATTTCAAGAGACATTCAAAAGGAAAAATGTTAATCCAGAAAAAATGCGTTTTATGTTTTTTGTTTTTTGTTTTGTTTTGTTTTTTGAATGAATTAAAAATACAAAAGTCTCAACCTCTGAATATTTAAGTATTGCAGTAGTTTCATTCTAAACTTTTTAATGGCATTATTTTCCCTCTCTTTCTCTAGCAGCTTGTTCAACATTAATATTCGTTGTTAGATATATTTTCTTGTAAGTTATTAACATTTTCTATTTTAAATATAGGATTCCCGTCATTATTGGGTCACCCCTTCCCCCTCTCCTTATGCAAATTTANTAATTTAAATTCAAGATTCAGTTTAGATGTTGGTTTTCTACTTTGCTGACGGGAATTCCTGTTTAGTCTTCTTCTATCTATTTAACTAACTATCTGTGATGTGTAGAACAGTCAATACTAGTAGTTTTGTAAACATCGAATATTCAAGTTTAATATTATTAATATTATACAATAAATATTTTAAAGTTGCATCATATTTTCTTGTGAAGGAGTGCTTCATTAATTGCACTAGATGAAAGAGAGCTATCATGATTATTTATCAATCAAATTTGAGAAACGAAACAATTTTTTTCCAGGCTGAAGTTTCGTTTTCTACAAAAATCTGAAATTTTAAGCATCAGGGTTTCTTGGGAAGAATTGCTTTCTAAACCGAGCTACATGAAGAACTGACCTATCTGGACAATTTCTCAATCGAGCAAAAGAAAAACGAACTATCATATTTCTGTCCCAAATTTTTTAGCACATTTAGATTAAATCAAAAGTTATACATGCAGGGTAAGTCAAACAAAGTGTGATTAGGGGCATCTGACGCAAAACTCTACTGTATGGTCTTTTTTCAATATTTAAATTTTTTGTGAAAATTGGTGCTTTTTGCATTTCTTTTATTTTTAAAAATTCCATTACGGTACACCAATTAAATCAGCTCCCTCAAGGGAGATTTAAGATTCTTTAGTCAGACATACACTAAATGATTTGACTAAAAATAAGTTTACAGCTGCCGAAAACAGTAAGAATGCGGACTGAATAAGTTCTGTTCAGTAATTTCAGAAGTTTCGCTTTAAACTTTCAGGGATTACGATACTGAAAGTGATTTATGAAAATAAAACCGGGTTAGTATTTGAATCAACATGTATTTCAAATATTTCTATCCGAAGTGTCGGTTAATAGAATTTGATGTAAATTGGTCCGTAAATGCAAATTGTATCAAATTTGAAAGGTAATACAAATATATTAAGTACAAATATGGGTCATCCTATAAACACTATTTATTTTTAGCGAAGTTTATTGAGCTTGAGTTTACGCAGTACCTACAGAAAAATGGAATTACTTGGTTTGGTTCTATTAGAGAATTGACCACGTGGAANATACATATTTCTTTAAGGAAAGTTTCCCCATGTAGAGTTTCCCCAAATATAATTCCTCAGATAGATCTTCCCCCAAATATGTTTCCCCCAGATAGGGTTTCTCCAGAGAGGTTCCCCCAGATAGGTTTCCCCAGATAGGTTCCCCCAGATAGGTTTCCCCAGATAGGTTTCTCCAGAGAGGTTCCCCCAGATAGGTTTCCCCAGATAGGTTTCTCCAGAGAGGTTCCCCCAGAGAGGTTCCCCCAGATAGGTTTCCCCAGATAGGTTTCCCCAGATAGGTTTCCCAAGATAGGTTTCCCCAGATAGGTTCCCCCAGATAGGTTTCCCTTGTGTCTTTCCCTGATAGATTTCCCCAGAAAGGTTTTTCTCAGATAGATTTCCCCAGATACCTTTCTCCAGGTAGATTTCCCCAGATAGATTTCTCTATATAGAATTTCCCAGATGGAATTCCCCAAATAGAATTTACCGGATGGGTTTCCCCATGTAGGTCTTCCCCACAGAGGTTTTCCTCAAAAAGGTTTTCCCCTTATAAATCTCTTCAAAATAGGTTTTCCCCTTATAAATCTCTTCAAAATAGGTTTTCCCCTTATAAATCTCTTCAAAATAGGTTTTCCCAATATAGGTTTCACCCATATTGGTTTCTCCGTGATAGATTTTCTAGGATGATTTCTCGCAGATAGGTTTTCCCCAGAAAGGTTAATTCACAAAGGTTTCTCCAGATAGGTTTCCCTGTAGGTCTGTTTACCTGGCAGCTGTCAAAGAAGGATATGAATTTAAATAGAAAATATCCTTTTCTTCGAAACCTCTTGAGTTTTCTTTTAAAAATAAGCAGTTAGGAAACATAATAGAAAATCCTAACACAAGTCCTCTCATCCATTTTCTCTCAAGAAAATTGTTTTCCTTTTCAATAGAACCAAGTTGAAAGGGGGGAGGGGCGGGATTATATTAACAACAAAAATACTTATGAAAAAATACCTTTTTGTTTAATTAAATGGAAAAGTTGTTTTTCTTTCAATGATTTGAAAATGATGACAGGTGTATTTAAACTTTTGTCCTCATACAAACAAAAAGATGTTTTTGTTTGTGAAAGTTTTATGATATCCCATAATTAGTGCGTAAATATAAATTTATGCACAAAGTAAGAATAAAAGGAATTATTATTTTGAGAAAAATACTGTGATTTAAATTGACATTTTATTGTGCTTATCATCTTAGCTGTTTTGATATTTTAAAAAAAAACGAAAAAGAAACCTCAACAACATTTAAGTTACAAAATATAATAACTGCTAATTTATATTTGTAATGAATCTAGGCCCCGATAAATCTCCGAATACTTGACTCTTAGTCTAATGTCCGTCTCTCTGACTCTATCACTAGCCAAAACTTAAGGCTCTATACACGTCTGTCTTAATCGACTAAATTGGTACAATACTACTTTATTAATACAGGTAAATTTAAGCTGACCGGAATGGAAGATCAGGGTCAACATGAACATAAATAAAATAGATAACGGAACATAAGATAAGATAAGATAAAGTTTATTGCTAAAATAAATGTATCTGTATACAGATAGAGTTTACAATCACAAAATTGATGATTATATTAACAGTACAAGTATAAAGCAATTAGGTGGAAAATAGCTCTTGGCTGTTTTGATTATTTTTTCCACCTAATGTTAGTAATAATAACAAAATATTTCAATTAAATAGATTTAAGGAGAACGATTAGAGATCAGGGTGCGAATTTATCATATGCAAAATAGTTTATACATAAATTCGAATAACTAGAGTTTAAAGTAATTTTCAGACATGTACACAANTTTTAAAAAATTTAATGACGATCGAATTTTGATAGAGACAAATATTTGAAATTTTGATGATTCATAAACCTTCCCTGGAGTCCCTAGATGTCCCACAAAAATTTGGGCCCGATCGGTTCAGCCGTTTTGACGTTTATTGGATACAAACAAACAAACAAACAGACAAACAAACACCAAGACAAGCCAAATTTATATATAGATTATATTAAGAGGTTTATCAATTAGTTAATAAACTATGAAATCTTAAGTTGTGAAAAAAATATCGTAATTTTTTTTATTCATTAATTTACATTTTTTTGACAATCCTTAAAATTCTGATAGAGTTTCCTAACTGTAAAAATCCACATTTGTTAAAAGTGTTCTCTTTCTGGCACAACAACTTCAAAGTAAAAAATATATTTTTTGACATTTAACAGCATTGACTAATAAATTATTAAGTAAACAAAAAGGCAATTATAACAAAATGTATAAAATAAATTAAAATATTTTGTGATAAGAAATTTAACAAATTATTGGTCACTAGGATGATTTCTCGCAGATAGGTTTTCCCCAGTTCATGTCACTCGTTAGCTGAGAATATGAAATTTTAAAAAAAATTGCAATTATGCAAAAATAACGAAATGAGTAGAAAGTAAGACGAGAACAATAAAAACAATATAAATGGACAAAAATAAAACAGACCGGTAAAATTCCAGATTATGAAATAACAATAATTAACAATATTTAATAAAAATGATATTGTGAATGTCAAGTTGGTCAAGATAATTCATCATGTCTCCCATCAAAAATATAATTTAAACGTAATAAATTATGCTACCTACGTCATCACGCAAATACTTGTAGTGAGTCTGAAATCTAGACGACAAATTTGGAAATTATTTGGAATTATCTTCATTATTAAACTGATATCTAATAATCCTGAGCCTGCGATTTTGAAAAATCGGGAAAATAACACTCGGGTCTAAGCTGTCCTTGGGCTTTACGACTTGAGCTTTCGGATTCAAGCTTCATCTTATTTTCTACAGAGTTGAGTTCAAAAAACGGGTTTAAAATTGTATTTTTTGGCGGATTGGGTTTAATATTGTGTTTTGCGGATTTTCATGGAAGGAATAGGGGTGATTTCTTAGAGAACGATTTGTTGACCGAAGATCTTGCAGCTGTCAATCACTTGACACAAGCCGTCGTCAGAGTTAGGTCGATGATTGGTTCTTAAAGTCGGGTTTAAGGAATTACAGCTCGGTCACAGATGTTTTATTCGTTTCTATCTCAGTTAAGTCTGAAATTCGGAAATTATGGCCGTGGTTATTTCCAACTGAAATTCGGAAATTATGGCCGTGGTTATTTCCAACTGTAGTGCGTAATATGATTTTTTAAAATAATTTTGTTCATGACTTAGACCACATGGATTTAACGGTTCTGTCAATATTTCAGTAAGCTGTGACTTTCGATCACAATTTGACCCATTAAACATAATTTTTCTCAAATACTTTTTTGTCGGCATATGCATTTTGAATGAAAAAGTATAAACAATCCGTAAATTAAAATATTGTTGAATTATAGAACAAAACACGTTTGACTTCAAATAGTAGAAACCGAATGCATCTCACTCTGTTTAGTCCGGAGTGAGACATAGCTTTAAATTAGAATTGAGTCTTAGAATGTGTCTAAGACATAATTGTGAACAAGAGAGTGTCTCAGACATAATTGTGACTTAGGATTGTCTTAGATAAAATTATATCTCAAAAGTATGGTGACTTAGAAAGTGAGTTAGACATAATTGTGAATTAAAAAGTGTCTTAAACATTAGTATGTCTTCAAAGTAGGAATTTTTTTCTTAGAATTGTGACTTTGAATGAGTCTCAGACATTTAGTTGTGACTTAGAATATGTCTTATCATGAATTAGACATGGGTCGAGTTGGAATTGTGACTTATAATATGTGTCTTAAATTTTTGACTTAGAAAAGTGTCTTAGACAAAATTATGTCTTATGAGTTTGTCTTAAAATGGTGACTTAGAATGAGTCTTAGTCATAGATCGGGAATTTTACATATATTGTCTAGCATCTGTATCAGTGAAAGTTTTGATACTTTTATTTC